CTGACCCACTCTTCCTCTACCCAGGGCAAGCCTTCCTCTCTCTCACTCTCTTCGTGTGTCCCTAGGGCCTGGGATTCCAGAGGGCTGCCCCTGACAAACACAGAAGCAAAKGCAGCATTCAGCAGCTCTGCTTTGTCCGTGTTTTCCGTAACCAGGGTACCCACCCCATTCACTAGTGGACCCACGATTTACAGCGGTTGTGCCTGGGGAGGGAAAATGGGGGGAAAATCTGCATTTGAACTGAAAATAAATATATACTCAGAACTGAGATCCTTCCAGGCTGCTCCGTCGCTGCTCTCCTGGCTGCTCTGGTGACAGGTTGGACATTGGCTTTGGGTTTGGGCTCCTTGTTGCCCCTGCAGCGGGTTGGGGCTGTCACCCGTGGGCTCCAAGCCGAGCTTTGGCTTGGCCTTGCTGTTCTGAGCTTTGTTCTGTTCTCTCTTGGCCGCAGCTGGACAAGGGGGACGTGACGGCCCTGAGCCTCCCTTCCAACGTGGGCCACGGCGACGCTGACGGCAACATCTGCCTGGACATCCCCGAGGGCACCCCGGACCCGCAGCGCACCAAGGCGGCCATCGAGCACCTGCACCAGAAGATCCTCAAGATCACGGAGCAGATCAAAATCGAGCAGGAGGCGCGGGACGACAACGTGGCCGAGTACCTGAAGCTGGCCAACAACGCGGACAAGCAGCAGGCCTCCCGCATCAAGCAGGTCTTCGAGAAGAAGAACCAGAAGTCGGCGCAGACCATCGCGCAGCTGCACAAGAAGCTCGAGCACTACCACAAGAAGCTGAAGGAGATTGAGCAGAACGGGCCCTCCCGGCAGCCCAAGGATGTTTTCCGGGACATGCACCAAGGCCTCAAGGACGTGGGTGCCAACGTGCGCTCCAGCATCAGCGGCTTCGGCGGCGGCGTCGTGGAGGGCGTCAAGGGGGGGCTCTCGGGCTTGTCGCAGGCCACGCACACCGCCGTGGTGTCCAAGCCCCGCGAGTTCGCCAGCCTCATCCGCAACAAGTTCGGCAGCGCCGACAACATCGCGCACTTGAAGGACACGCTGGACGACGGGCACCCCGAGGAGGCGGCGCGGGCGCTGAGCGGCAGTGCCACCTTGGTCTCCAGCCCCAAGTACGGCAGCGACGACGAGTGCTCCAGCGCCACGTCGGGCTCGGCCGGCGGCAGCAACTCCGGCGCCGGGCCCGGCGGCTTGGGCAGCCCCAAGTCCAACACGCTGGACAGTCACCACAACAGCTTCGACACCATCCTGGAGGAGCTGCGGGAGATCAAGGAGAGCCAGTCGCACCTGGAGGACTCCATGGAGGACCTCAAGGCGCAGCTGCAGCGGGACTACACCTACATGACGCAGTGTCTGCAGGAGGAGCGCTACAGGTAGAGCGGAGGGGAGGCGGGGTGGCAGCACGTGGGGACGGGGACACGCTCACCTGCGCTGTGCTGATGCCACCACGCAACAGCTCATGGATGGAAGTGGCCACTGCCGTATGGCCCAGGGGGGTCTGCGCATGTTGGGGACACCGCCGTCCCCAACGCCCCTGTGTCCTCCAACCTCCCCGCGCAGGTACGAGCGCCTGGAGGAGCAGCTGAACGACCTCACGGAGCTGCACCAGAACGAGATGACCAACCTGAAGCAGGAGCTGGCCAGCATGGAGGAGAAGGTGGCCTACCAGTCCTACGAGAGGGCGCGGGACATCCAGGTGGGTGAAGGCACCGCGGGGGACACCGTCACCTCGTGTGACGAGGCGGGCGGGCGGCGCGGGGCCCTGACGCGGCCGGTGCCTTGCAGGAGGCCGTGGAGTCCTGCCTGACGCGGGTCACCAAGCTGGAGCTGCAGCAGCAGCAGCAGCAGGTGGTGCAGCTGGAAGGGGTGGAGAACGCCAACGCGCGGGCCCTCCTGGGCAAGTTCATCAACGTCATCCTGGCCCTCATGGCCGTGCTGCTCGTCTTCGTCTCCACCATCGCCAACTTCATCACGCCGCTCATGAAGACCCGCATGCGCATCCTCAGCACCGCCCTGCTCGTCCTCTTCCTCCTCTTCCTCTGGAAGCACTGGGACTCCATCACCTACTTGCTGGAGCACGTGCTGCTTCCCAGCTGATCCCCGGCCCGGCCGCTGCGCCCGAGGGCTTCCCGGTTCCTGCCGAGGGGAGCCGGGATGGGGCCGGCGGCCGGAGCCTCCGTTTGCCGCCTCCACGCTCTTGGTTGAGTTGCTTTTCCTTTGCCCTCTGTCGCGTTGGTGGAGATGGAGCGGTGCCCTGTCAGTCCTCGGGAAGGCCGGGGAGGGCAGCATGCGGGAATTTGGGATGCAAACGCTAAATTACGTGTCACTGCGTTGGGCTTCCAAACGGCGCCAGACCGTGGGCGGGAAGTGGCAGGAAAAGGGCGCGTGGGCATCCCCGGGTGGGGAAGACGGAGCCAGCGAAGGAGCCCCGCGTGCAGGAGTGAACGGAGGGCCCCGCTCCCGAGGGCGGCAGGCGCCTCCTGCGGCGCTTCCCGCCCCGCTTCCCGCTTCCTTCCCGGGCCGCCGGCCCTGTGTGTGTGCGCGTGCGGTTGGCGTTTCCCGCGAGACTCGCGTCCCCCTTGGTGAGGGGACGCCCCCCAGCCCCACGCACCAGCACGGCTTGTTGTCTTGACTGTTTCTTAAATTATTTCAGACGTATATATTTATGTAATATATCTACACACACACATATATATATAAATATATATATAAAAATATATGCACGGGCAGAGGCTCCTCGGGTGCAGCTCTGCGGAGCACGAGCGCATTGTCCTGGTGGGAATGTGGCCGGGAGCTCCATCCTTGCTCCTAGGATCCGCTGGGGGCTGCTGCAAATGTGCCCCCCACCCTGTGCACGCAAGGGGCACCCCAGGGTGCTGCCCCCCGTGCCTGGAGCGCTTTTGGGGCAGGAGCTCCTTGTTTTGGTGCAGATTGATGGGGGGTGGCAGCACCCGCCGAGCTGGATGCAGGACACTCATTGCACCGCGCTGCAAGGGCCTTGCACCTCTGTCCCGTGTTCCCTTTATCCCTATTTCCTCCACCCTCTGCATGGTCCTGCCGGGGGCTCCGTAGAGCGGACAAGCGCACGGGGGAGCCAAGGAGGCTCCGCGGCAGCCGCAGCCACGCGAGGGCTCCCGGAGCCGCCCGCTGCCGCCGAGGCACTGCCGGGAATTCCCTCAGCGCTGCGGCCAAGCCGGGACATTGCCGGGCCCTCCTGTACCCACCGGCCCCGGGAAGCTCATCCCTGCAAGGAGCCCCCGAGAAATCATGGTGATTAATTGCTTGGGGAGCTGAGGGCTAATTGCACTTCATGGGGATGCAGGGAAGCAGCCAGCGCTGCGGACCTGACGGAGTCTTCCTGCCTCCCCCTTTGCTTGGCAGTCAAGGAGGAGGAGGAAAAGGAGAAGGAGGAAAAAGAGGAGGAGGAGGATGAAAAGGAGAAGGAGGAGGAAAAGAAGAAGGAGGTGGAGGAGGAAAAGGAGAAGGAGGAAGAGGAGGAAGAGGAGGAAAGGAGAAGGAGGAAGAGGAGGGAAAGGGAAAAGGAGAAGGAGGAAGAGGAGGAAAGGAGAAGGAGGAAGAGGAGGAGGAGGAGGAAGAGGAGGAGGAGGAGGAAAAGGAGGAGGAGGAGGAAAAGGAGGAGGAGGAGGAAAAGGAGGAGGAGGAGGAAAAGGAGGAGGAGGAGGAAAAGGAGAAGGAGGAGGAAAAGGAGAAGGAGGAGGAAAAGGAGAAGGAGGAGGAAAAGGAGAAGGAGGAGGAAAAGGAGAAGGAGGAGGAGGAGAAGGAAAAGAAGAAAGAGGAGGAGGATGAAAAGGAGGAGAAGGAGGAAAAGGAGAAGGAGGAAGAGGAGGGAAAGGAAAAAGGAGGAGGAAGAGGAAAAGGAGAAGGAGGAGTAGGAGGAAAAGGAGAAGGAAGAGGAGAAGGAAAAGGAGAAGGAGGATGAAAAGCAGAAGGAGGAGGAGGAGGAGAGTGGCGGTGGGAAGCAGCCTGGGGACCCCCAGCACCTCCCTCTCCCCCCGCCAGCCGCAGGAAACAAGGGCAGTTCCCAAGGATAACATGCTTTGCATTCCTGCGCCGTTGCCGGGGGAATTGCGACTGATCTACATGAGAAACACCGGCTCCCCCCGGGGTCAGCGTGTCTGGAGGAGAAGAATTCCTAGCGGAAAAGCTCGGAGGAGCGCAGAGGGGAGCGGGGGCGGCCCCGCGCCTGGGATCTCACAGGACAAACCTAATCATTTAATTGCACCTTAAAAAGGAATATAAATACCTGTCTGGAGCTGGGGAGGGAGGAGGCTCCGAGAGGAAAACGGGAGAGGAATTTAATTAAGGGCAGCGCTGGGAATGTCTCGAGCACAGTAAAGATAAAGAGGATCAATTGCTGCTTCCTCAGATCAAAGCAAAGGGTGGGTGGGATGGGGGGGGGGCAGGGCGGCCAGGGGGCAGGAAAGCCGGGAAAGGCACCCGGGAGAAAGCGGGAGAGCGAGACAGCCGGTTAAGACCGCAGAAATAACTGATGGCAGAGCCGCTGTCGCGGTGCCGGGACCCGACGGGGGACACGGCAGGGCTGATTTCTTGGTGGGAGCAGGGGCAGCGCTGCCTCCCTGTCCATCCGTCCATCCATCCCTCCATCCATCCCTCCATCCAGCCATTCAGCTAGACAGCCAGCTATCTATCCATCCATCCATCCAACCGTCCGTCCATCCATCCATCCATCCATCTATCCATCCATCCCTCTAGCTATCTGTCCAGCGAGCCAGCCAGGCATCTATCCAGCCAGCCAGCTGTCCATCCGTCCGTCCATCCATCCAACTGTCCATTCATCTGTCCTTGCATCTTTCCATCCATCCGTCCGTACAGACTGCCCAGGAAAGCGCTGGGAAGGCAGCAGCCAGGCCAGGAGCCGGGCTCTGCTCCGATCTCGCAGCACCCGGCAAGGACAGGAGCAGGAAGAGCTGCTTCCTGGCCACAGTTGGGAAGCGTTTCCAGCTGAGCCCTTTGCTACGGCCTCCGGACCATGGTTTTGGTCCCGGGCTTGGAGCAGCTGAAGGAAACGGCGTTCCGGGATCAAAGCTCGCGCCGCGCCGCACGCTTCCCTTTTTTGGGCTGCTCCCGGCTCCTAGCAAAGTGTCACCCAAACCGGCAAGACTTTCATGTGGGGATTTCTCGTCTTCAAAGCAAGCCGGCATCAAACAGGTAATGCTTGAAACGCACAAAAAAAAGAAGGGAGGGTCCCGCTTTGAGCGCCAGGGCGGCTCGGCAACATCAGAGATTTGTTGCGTTCCTGCTCTGCAGCCGGGATGTTTCTGCACGGAACAGCCCAAATATGGGCCCGGCGCATCCGGCGGCTCCGCAAGCCCGGACGGCGGCGCCGGGTGACTCACGGCTGGTGCCCTCGGGGCCGGGTAGTGCTGACGGCTCCGGGAATTCCCAGCCTGGCCCCATTGAGAGCTGTCTGCAGCTTCAGAGTAGCTTCCCACTCCAAAACCCCTTTTCTCCCCTATTTTTTGCTGCTCGCCCACGCTGCGGCGTTGCCCCCAGGATGGTGCAAACCCCAGGATGGTGCAAACCCCATTTTGCCCCCAGGATGGTGCCCCCAGGATGGTGCAAACCCCATTTTGCAGGCTGGCAAATGTTCCATCGGGGCACGTCGCCCTCAGCTTTGCAAGCCCACGGCAGCGAGCGCAGGGGAGCGACGGGAGCTCGGCCACGGGGGCTTGCAGATCGCGAGAGGGTCTGCAAATCCTGGAGAACCTGCAAAACACAGGAGGATCTGCAAAACACAAGCGGGTTTGTAAATCACAGTGGGGGGTTGCAAATCACGGGGAGGGCGTTGCAAAACGCAAGAGGGTCTGCAAAACACACAGGGGTCTGCGAGGTGGCAGTGGATCTGCAGGGAATGAAAGGGAGCCCTTAATAAGCGAGGGCCTGGAAGAAGGGGCAGCTCCCAAGCAGGAGGAGAGGCGTTGGAAAGGGGCCGTTTCCAAGGGCTGCCCCCGGGAATGCTCCGGCTCGGAGAGCCGGGCAGGGCCTGGGAGCAGAGGGATGGGACAGAGGCTGCAGCCGCCTCCCCGTGTCCCCTCCCCTGCAGAGGTGGCATCGCTGCCACACAGGGCAGGTCCCGCAGGCCAGACCTGTGCAGCGAGTCCCTGGCATCCCCAACCGTGCCGGTTTTCCCAGTCCCGGCAGCCCGACTTGTTTCCCCATCCCTTGGAAAGCCGCCCGCTTCCCAGAGGGGTGACGGAGCCGGTCCCACTTCTGCCTGCTCCCTGCAGCTGGAGCAAAGCCCACATTCCCAGCACAGGCTGCTCCGCGGCGCTGGGATCAGCCCGGCTCCCAGGGAGCCCGCAGGCATCCCAAAACCAAGTGCCACCAAACAAGTGCCCGAGTCACATCCAGGTGACAATTCCCTACAAGGAAAAAGGCACCAGGGCCAGGGGGAATTTGCCTGCTCATGGAGAGGACTGGGCCCAGAGAGCTGGGAATGAGCTTGGGGCAAACAGCTGCATCCATCCGCATTCCCTGCGGGAAGGAAAGGCTGGGATGCAGCGGTCCCATTCCCTAGTTGCAGCAGCAGGAAGAGGGGCCAGGAGCAAGTCCCTGGAAGGGACTTGGCCCTTGCTAAGCCGGGTGTCCCACGAGCAGCTTTGCAGCGCTCCGGCCTTGTCCCACGCCGCTGGAAGCACGCAGGGAATGCGTAGCAGGGGGCCCGGGGCATTCCTGGCACGCAGGAACGCCGCCGGAGCGGGCAAAGGGCAGGGCCAGGAGGCCCAAGGAACCCCTACCAACCAATGTGGAAAGGGGACATCCTTAGGGTGCTTCCTAGAGCCGTAAAAACAGATCCAATGGCTCAGCAAGGGCTGGAGCAGGGAATTGCAGCTCCATCCTGGAAAAGGAGCTGGGATGCAACAAACAGGTGAAGCAGAAGCCTGGTCCACATTCGGCCTTTAATTTAAATCCGTGTTTTCTCCAAACACTGTGGGAAGGAGGGGACAACAACAAGGAGGGGACAGTGCCCGCGAGGCAGCCAAGTGCAAAGGAGCATCGAGCCCTCTGCTCCCGGCCCTGCGGGAAGCGCTGCCTTCGGGAAGCTGCTCCCAGAGGCAGGAAAATCCAGTGCAGAGGAAGTTGTACATTAACTAACCACAAGGCAATAAATAAAGAAGTGATGCCTTAAGGAAAGGCACTTTTTTTTTCCTTCCCCCCCTTCCAACACAGTTCAGGGTTTCCTGTGGTACCAACCCCACCAGCTGCTCTTCCAGCAGGAAGGGGAAACATTGGGAGCTGGAGCCCTTGGGCCCCCATTGCCAGTAAATCCAGGTATCCCAGAGGGGGGGCACCGGCCTCGGGGGGCACCATGGGGCCACCCCAGCGCCCTGCTACATCTCGAGCCCGTTTGAGGTATATCACCCACCCCACGCGTCACCTTGTGCAGCCAAAAACAGTGCAAAAGGAACAAAAAAATCAAGGCAGACCCAGACAAGAACGACCCTTCTTCCCCACGGGGAGATGAGGAGCCCGTTAGCAACGGGAGGACGGCAGCACCAGGCCCCAGGGCCACCAGACCACGGCCACGGGGCCCCGAGGAGCCGCGGGCTTTGGCTCCGAGCAGGGCTGCTGCCCCGGTGCTCCCCGGTGGGACACGGGGCTAGGGGACGAGGCACCGGGGACCCAGCCCTGTCCCCACAGCGGGTTGGGGGCAGCCGCTCAGCTTCACACCGACGGTCCCCCTTTGCAGCCCTCGGTGACCCCGTCACAGTCCCACGGGGAGAAGCGGCTCCGCGCCAGGGGACCGGGGCAGTGCGTCACCGTCCAGCGGCGCAGCCGGCGCCCGGCCTCCTCCTCCTCCTCCTCCTGCTCCAGGCGGAGGAAACTGTCGACAGAGACGCAGCCGCGCATGGCACCGCGGGGCGTGCGTGCAGGTAGGTCGAGCTGCTCGAAGGACTCGGTGGAGAGGATGCTGTCCTCGCTGACGGCGCTGCCGGGGCGGCCGCGGGGACCCTCTCCGAAACGCACCAAGCCCGGCTCTGGCACGGGGCCGCCCGAGGACTTGCTCTGGTGCTTCAGGATGCCCTTGGGGTGCACGGGGAGCCCCGGAGCAGCCGGCTCCACGGCGGGACCCTCGGCAAACACGCTGCCATCCAGGTCCAGGCTGCCGTCCGGGCTCCCCAAGTCCGGCCCGTCCGGGGATTCGCCGCCCTCCAGAGAGGAGTAATAGCCCGACTCCCTCATCGGGGGCTTCTTGAGGATGCCCTTCCTGGGCACGGCCGTGGGGACCGCACTGTTGTCTGTAAGGACACAGCTCAGAGCTGCGTCGCCCTCCTCAGCAGCGGCCGTGTGCGGAGGGCTGGGCCCGGGCACCTTCTGCTCGCCCGAGTTCTTCTTCTTCAAGATGCCCTTGGGCCTCTTGAGGACGGACTTGGCCGGGTTCTCCGGCACGGGCTCCTGCAGCGCCTGGGATACGTCGTTCTCCTTCTTGGACTTCTTGAGCGAGCGCTGCCTCTCGAGGGCGCCGCCGGGCGCGGGCAGGTGCTGCTTGAAGAAGCAGCGCACCCTGGAGCCGTTCTCGACGAGGGGCCGTGACGAGCGGCGCAGCCACTCGGCCACCGCGGCCAGCGGCGACTCGCTCTCCCGCAGCGCCTCCTGCTCCCCGACGGGCACCTTGTAGCCCCAGTTCACCCACCAGTGCGTGGCGATGTCCTCGATGGTGGCGCGGCGCGCCGGGTTCACCATGAGCATCCAGCGGATGAGCCCGCAGGCATCTGCGGAAGAGGCTGGTGAGGCCGAAGGCAGCGGGACAGGGAGGGCAGAGCCGCGGTGCTTGACCTACCCGACAGCTTCGTGGGCTCCCGGTACTCCCCGCTCGTGATCTGCTTCACCAGCGTCTTGTAGTCCTGGCCATCGAAGGGCATCGCGCCGTGCACCAGGATGTAGAGGAGGACGCCCAGAGACCAGCTGTCCACCTGCGCGGCACGGGGGAGGATGAGGATGGGCAGCAAGGCAAGGCTGCGCCCCGAGGCGGCTGCTGCGAGAGCCCTGCACCCCGACGGATGCTCTGGGTGGCACCGCTCACCTCCGGGCCCCTGTAGGGCCTCCCGTTGATGATCTCGGGCGACGCGTAGAGCGGGCTGCCGCAGAACGTCTGCAGCAGCCTGTCCTGCTGGTAGACGTTGGAGAGGCCGAAGTCCGCGATCTACGGGGAGGTTTACAGCTGCAATCGAGTGGCAGCGGGTGGAGCGCGGCGCCCGACGCGCTGCAGCCCCACACCTCCCTGCCTGGGCTCCGGGAACGGGGCTTTCCCTCAGGAAAGGGATGTTGATTCCCTCTTGTCCCGCCTGGGACCCCCTGCTCAGGCTTTGCCCTCGTACCAGCGCTCGGATACACCACGACGGCTTGAGCGGCCCAAAGCCCTCACCTTGATGTTCCCGTTGGCATCGAGCAGGATGTTCTCCAGCTTCAGGTCCCTGTGGACGATGCCGTTCTGTGCCGGGGAGGGAAGGCAGAGGCGGGTTAAGCTCGCAGCGTGTTTGAGGAAGAGAAAGTCTCCGCGGGGAGGAGGCTGCCATGCAGGCACCAGCATCGCTCCATGGCGATGGGGCTCAAACAGGACGAGGTTACAGTACTGAGATGAGCAATAAACAACTCATTTTACAGCCCATCCTTATCCACGTGCAGCATCCCGGCCCGGGCGGTGCCCTTGGGCTCATTAGGAACACATTGCAGCCGTGGCTGGCTGCACGTTGGCCTGTGGGTCCCTGTCCCCAACAGGGCTGGCGACAGGGACACACCATGGCCAGAGCGCTCCGTGCTGCTTCGCTGGGAGCTGCTGCTGCCTCCAAGCAAGAGCTGCAGGCGCTTCAGTCCAAGAGGGGCTTTGCAGCCTCCCTTGCACCCAGGCGCAGCCTTGCAGCACTCCACTCCTCCCAGGGACGCTCCTCAGTGCCAACATCTCCAAGTGCTCCAGGGCCAGCAAAGCTTTGGGAAGCAACTCAGCGGGATTCATCCCCCCCCGGGATTGCCCCTCCCGCTTGGCTGGAGCCCCCCGCTCCATCGGGAGCTCGCTGCGGGCACGGCGGCTCCGACGCACCTTGTGGCAGTAGTAGACGGCGGAGACGACCTGGCGGAAGAAGTGCCGGGCCTCGTGCTCCGAGAGGCGCTGCCGCTCGCTGATGTAGTCGTACAGGTCCCCCTTGCTGGCGTACTCCATCACGATCACGATCTTGCTGCTGTTCTCAAACACTGCAAGGAGACATCGGGGGCGTGAGGTTCTCCAAAGGAAGCTCTCGTTAGCATGCACCTTAATTAGAGGGTGAAGCTACAAGCAGCTCCGTGCGCCCCTCATCTTGCTGGCATGGCCAGGGTGGATTTTCTCCATGCTCTGAGCAAGGATCAAGAGCCAGGCCAAGAGAGGGAAATCCAGGGTGGATTTTCTCCATGCTCCTAGCAAGGATCAAGAGCCAGGCCACGCCAGGGAGCGTTTCCTTCCCGTTTGCAGGTAGCTCCATATCTGCGGGCTGCCGCAGCGGCGCGCGTGACTCAGCCCTGCAAACACGGCTTTGTTTGCAGGACAAAAGGCCTGTGGATACCTCACGTACGCGGTAATAACTGGCGGCGGCCGCAGGCACCGCCGGGCGGACACGGATCCCGATCCCGCTGGATATTTGCTCCCAGGCTAGAACAGCGGGAAGCTCCCTCCCAGCCTCGTGGCTTTGCTGCCCTGGGAGCCACCTCGGTGGCTCATCAAGCACTCAAGGCTAGGGTTGCCCCAGGGAGGAAAGGAAGACTCCAAGCATGGAAATCTGCTCCTGCCGCAGGGGTTCCCAGCACTGGCATTTCCCCACTTCCTAAATACACCTTTCCCACACAGGAGCCATCCCAATCCCACGTTTTTGTTGAGAGGGGGAAGCTGGCAGGGCAGAAAGGGGGTCTCACCTTCATGGACGGCAATGATGTGGGGGTGATTGAGGGATGACATGATCTCGATCTCCCTGCGGATATGGACGAGGTCCTGCTCATCCTTGATCTTGTCCTTGCGGATGGACTTGATGGCCACCTGCACAGGAGGACACACACAGGGGGCTGAGCCGGTGTCCGGCACCCGCCCAGCTTCCCAGGAACACGCGGCAGAAACACAACCCGCTCCCGGGAAAAGGCTCCTGCCGGGGCCCGGCTTCCCGCTCCCTGCGTAGCCAGGGCATTAGGTCCTCACTGCAGCAATGCCAGTGAGAAGGAATTTTATCAGCTGGATTTGCCCCGTTTCCAAGGGTTTCTGTGCTGCAGGGGGAGGGCAGCCCTGGCCAGGCTCCCAGCCTGACCCTGCTCCTTGTTTATCTGCAACTGCGGTGAGAGCCGGGACAAGGAACGCGACCCGCACGCAGGACTTGCGGATAAGGACAAGGGCTTCTCAGGGTGGCGAAAACGAAAGGGAAAAAAAGAGAAAAAAAAAGGTTTGTTTTCCCTGCAAATATTTATTGCAGGTTGCTGAGCATGCAGGGTGCAGGGCTAAGGGAAAGCCTGGCGCTAAGGCCCCGACGCGCAGCACCGCTCCCAGCCGGCCTCGCCGCGGCTTTCACGTTATCCTCCACAAGGAAATTGAAAGGGAAGGAGAAAGAAGAGTTAGTGCCGGAGAATAGACGCCGTCTAATCCTCTTTCAAAGGCACTGGGGAGAGACAATATACTCCTAGGGCTGAATTTACAACTGAATCCAGCAGAACCTCTTTTTTTTTTTGTATCAGACAAGAATGCGGAACAGCATTAATCCCGTCAAGGGATCCTGGAGGAGACGGAGCACCGGGTCTCCCAGCAACAGGGAGAGGGGCCAGGGGCACCCGCCAGCCCCGATGCTCGTGATGAGACCCATCCGAGAGCTGCCACTGCCCAGATCCAGACCTAGAACCAGAACCAAGAGCGCATTGGGCTTCCTGACGGCCACGGAATTTCCCCCTGACTTTCATGCTAGTCTAGCAAGTTAAATTTTAGCCGTTTCTGCTTCAGTTCCTGCTTCCCAGCCCCTCCATAACGCACACAATGCCTCCAAGCCTGGGCAGCTTGGGAGCTGCCCCTGTGTTCCCGAGTTTCCTCAGTGTCAGAGCCAGGGCTCTCCTCTCCCAGTGGCAGGGTCCATATCTCACACCAAGGAGTCCACGCAGGCCATCCACACAAGTCACCCAACAAGGGAAACCCATCCCTAAGGAAAGGATGGGATGCACAGGGGCTGCTTTGTTGCAAAAACTCTCCCATCGGAGCGAATCCCTGCTCCAAGGCTGCAAGGGCAGCACCAGCTGCTCCTCGATGGGAACAGCGGCTTCAGACACCGCCGCTGCAGGTACCAGTCGGGACCCTGCACCCTTCCTCTCCCTCACTGATGTCCATGAGAAGAATTCCCTGCAGGAGATAGTCCCAGGAAATCCCACGGCTGGATCGTGGGGAATTCAAGAGTATTTTCCAAGTCAAAAAGCTTTAATTAAAGTTTTGGGGGTAGAACGGGTATTTTAAGCAGCTGCTGAAAGATACATTAAGTTACAACCCCAGGCAGCACTTTACAAGTTGCTCCAGATTGCAATTGCAGCATTTCATGTTCCATGAAATATGGATTACAAACCACAGTGGAAGAGACCAGGATTCTCCCCTTACTGCAGATCAAAAGAGGCTTTGCTGCTTGGGAATATCCCAGGTGCTCTCTTCCCTTGACATCACACGAGCCCAGAACACATTTCTGACATTGCAAGCGAGTTCCACAGGAGGTCCCGGTTCCTACTTGACTTGGCTCCGGTCCAATGCTTGGGAATGAGGCTGGAAGAAAGACCAGGCTGCAAGAAAAGAGGCCGGATGCTGCAATGCAAACAGGTGCAGCTTGCAGCACCACGGCACATGCGAGCACATTGCCAAAGCAGAGACACAGCAGGAAAAGCCGAGAGCTCTCCATGCTCAAAATCCAGCACTTGACAGAGCCCAGTCTTCCCATAACGAGCTACGTGATTAGACGCACTTGGCTTTGAGCTAACACCAGGGAGGATGGTTAAAATTCAAGGAAAAGGAGGCAGTAAAACAGGACGGCTCAATATGAAAATGCATATTTTCAACGCAGCGAAATGCGCCCGACAGAGGCGTTAGCCAGAGGCCAAACACACGCGGGACGGTTCCAGCTTCACCGCTTCAGCCGGCGGCAGCGCGGCCGCAAAGAGCCGGCACGGGGACCCGGAGCAGGCAGTGCTACCTGCTCTCACACCTCGGCATTTAGGAAGTGAAAGCCACTTAGCGAACAAGCAAATAACAACCCAGCTCAGGATAAGCCTGAAGATTAAACAGGTCCGGAAATGCTGAGTGGTGCAAGAAAGAATTTGTGGGAAGAGGAGAGATTTGCGGTTAAGCCTCCTGTTCCCACATGGCCGGCTCTGTGCGGTACCAGTTAGTCGAGCCTTGGCTATCTGTGGCATTTATTGGAGTGCCATCAGCCTATGCACTTAATTCACATTATCACCGCTTAATACTGCGTAGGCAAACGAGCCCCTGTCCTAGGGAGCTTGCACCAATAGGAAGGTTTCCTGGCAATTCAAAGAATTGCTGAACAAACTTTGTTGGGGCGGAAAAGCAAAGCCAAGACTTTGCACCCATCCCAAGGGGAGGATCGTTCCAGGGCAGCGAGTGGGAGCTGTATTTCAAGTCCCCGATTATGCAGGAAAACAGCAGTGTCTTCACAATCAGATAGGCTAATGGAAGTGGCAGAGCCCAGTTAATCACGAGCCCGTGCGTGACACAAGAAAAACCTCTCCGATTTGCGCTCGCTTTCCTGACTCACCTCTGTGGGACCTTGGAGATTTGGCCTTGCACCCACCTCGCTGCTGCTGTGTCTGACCCAAACAGACCCCCATTGCTCACCCCAATGGGTGCATGAGTGCTGGGGCGTGAGAACAGTTCATGGGTCCCATCCTGCTCCACGGGGAGCTTGGCACAGGGCAGGGAAACCACGTGCAAGGTTGTCCTTTGCCCGCCTGCTGCTTTCCAAAGGGCAGAGCTGCTGGGAAGCAGCAGGAGCCCTTCCTGAGGGGGGCTAAGCACCCTTGCACCTCCCCACACGCCACGAGCACCCTCTGCCCCCGGTTGCCCATCGCACACAGAACTGGCCACACACGGGCCCAGACGCTTGATTGAGAGCCACGATCTCAAGCAGACACCGGGGGCACTCCAAGAGGCCCAGGGCTGCCAAGAGTCAACACCTAAACCAAGCAGAAACCGGGGCAGGAGGAAGGGAAAAGCCCTTGAGGCCGGAGCTCGGTGTTTGCTCGGCGCTGCCGGATACGAGCGAGCTCCGCTCCGGTCAAGTGCGGCTCGGGGACCGCAGGGCCGGCTGGGGGGATGCCCGGGGGGGAATAGCGGGTGGAGCAGGGAGCCCGGCGATGTGCAGGGTGGCTCGGGGTGGGGGGGACGCTCACCAGCTTCCCGGAGCGCTCGCGGGCTTTCTTCACCTTCCCGTAGGTGCCTTTGCCGAGCGTCTCCAGGAAGTCGTAGCGGTGCTTGAGGTTGTGCTTGTGGTGGTGCCGCTTCACCGCCTGCTTCTTCATCAGCGGCCGCGGCGACTTGAGCAGCCCCTGGGCCAGCGAGGCGGCCAGCGGCCCCGGTCCCGTCCCCGTCGACAGCGGCCCCGGTCCCGGCGCCGCCCCCGTCCGCTCCATCCCGCAGCGGCCCCGGCCCGCGCCGCTCCCGGCCGCTAAATGCGGCGGCGGCCACGGACCCATCGTCAAGGCTGCCCCCGTGGAGCGGGGGGAGCCCCGGGTGCTGGAGGGGGGGCGGTCACTAGTTGGGGTGCAAAGGGAGGCTTGATGGAGGGGGGGGGCACAGCAGTGTAAAGGGGCACAGTGGAGTGGGGGGGTTGTGATGGGATGGTGCTGGGGGGCTGCACAGGCAGCTGGGGGGGCACAAAGAGGCAAATACATCCAAACCCCTGCACTGGGATGGAGCAGGACAGGCCTTGGAGGGGAGCATCCCGCCAGGAGCGAGGGGGAGCGCAGGGACACGGGACACAGACATGCAGGAGACAGGGGCTGCTGCCAGGAGCCACAGGGCACCCAGCTTCTCTTGGGGGTAAAAAAAAAAAAAAAAACGGCAAATTGAGGGCAAAAATCAGCAAGAGGAGGGGTTGGGCCCATGCCAGCCCTGGGAGGCCGTTTTGCCCACCCTGGGCACCCAGAGGAGCAGTGTGACCCACACAGAGAGGGATGGGGGACATGAGGCCAGTCCAGGCGCTGCCCTGTGAGCTCCCGTGCAGTCTCAGCCCCCGCAGTAGTTCTTTGTTTGCAGGTATTAAAAGAATGCAAATATTCCCCAAAGCTGCCGAAACAAACGCTCCCGCCCGGCTCGGCCCGTGTGAGGACACACCAGGATCCAGGGTGGAGATTACACCGGCATTAGTCAGCCCTGGATTTTCCCAGCGCTTCCAGGGGCTCGGGGCAGCCGGTGGGATGAGGCAGGGTCCTGGGAGCGCATCCAAGGATGAGCTCAGGTGGCACCGGCCCCTGCACAGGCTCGGGGTGCAGCGCTGGCCCCAAAGGCTCCAGTGCACAGCGAGCACCATGACAGTGCTCAAAGGACCATGTCTTGGACGCCGTTTAGACAGCCCTAGGACACAGAGGCATCTCAGAGGTCCGATGTCCCCAGTTTTTATTGCCAGCGGCTGTGTGGCACCTCTCTTCTGCAGCAGGAATGAGACAGGAGCGGCTTTTGTGCGCACGCAGGCTGGTCCTGCAGCCTTTCTCGCCTCCCCCGCTGCTGAAAGCCCAGGAAAATCAGTGCACAGCGAAATAGCCCCATTTTATTTTCAAATCAGCCATCTCCCGCTGGCGGGGGGGCTCCTCCGCGTGAAGGAGACACTGTGCTCGGCGGCAGCGCTGAATTATTTACCGGGCAGTAACAGGAGCCGCATCTTGATCTGAAACCAGGGCCCATGGGGAAGATAAACAAGGTGTAGATGAGATTAACTAAACTGCTGTAATTTCAATGTCACAGTAAACAGAGAGGATCCTGTTCAGGCTCAGCCTGGAGACTGCAGAATAGGTCACGGGAAGAGACAACCCTGGTCCTTGCAGCTCCATGGGTCTGCACCCAATGCAGGCAGGAGCACCCAAGGTCCGGCTGGTGGGGACTTACCCCCCCCATCCAAGCGCTCATCCCACCCTCTGGAGCCCACGTTTCATTTTAAGCACATGCTTAATCCTCCCGCCAGCTCCTAAGGATGCTTCCCAGGGCGAGGATGAAAGGAAATGAAGCCTTGAGTCGCTTCGCTTTCTGTTTCCACCAGACAAATTCTTCTCTGCAGTTCTTGGTGTTGTCACTGATCCGTGGGCTTCGGTATGCTTTTGTTCTAGAGCAGCGCAGGAAGCCCTTTTTTATGGAAATGTATAGGGACACAGATCTAAGCTCCCTGGAATCCACTGATAAGGATCCTCTATTGTAACCAGCACTGTGGCTAGTGCAGCAGTGGGGAAATCCACTAAAAATTCCCCGGCCTCCCCCACCTGCGGCTGTAGAAATTCTTAAAAAAGGGATTTCTAGAGCAGCAACTCTTGCTGAACACGTATCCGCTAAAAATTGACATGAAAGTCTGCAAGGAATTTGGCTGCGTATCAGGCAAACTCACTCAGATCTAGTCTAATCCAGGCTTGCATCACTACAAAACTGCAAGGTGAACTCGGATTTACGCCAAGCTGAAGTTGCTGTTTTAAGTGCTTTGAGGTTTTTTTCATTAAAAAATGCTTTTTTTCTTTAAAAGTGCTTTAAGTTTTTTTCTTTCCCCCTTTCCTCTTCACCTTTAGCACTGAGTCACTGCTGCAGCATTTATAAAAACACCCCTATTTTGGCCCAAACTGATGGCTCTGCCATTGGAGCCTATTTATCCACCTCTGTTTGTGGATTGGTGAAGGAATGAACTTTCCCCAGAGGATATTACAGAAGGAAGCCCTCCAAAAGGGAAAGGAAGAGTTTTGCGGGGCGTTAAAATACCAAGCGAGACAAAAAGTGCCACGATGGCCTCCCATTAGTGGTCCTCTATGCGGGTAGCATTCCTGCCTGGTGCTCGGGCAGGTGTGAAACTCATCCCGCCTTGGAAAACACCCGGGAAAGGGCCCGTCCCTCTGATCCTCCCTACTGGAGGCCCCATCCATCAGGGCAAGAGGGGAAAGGCATTAGCAGCAGCAGGAGTTTTGCAAAAAGCAGTTTAGGAGCTATCCCATCTAATGAGTACAGGCGGCCACCCCTGCAGCCCGCTCCGGCCGTGGGATTAAAGCAGCTGCAGCCCTGGACCCTGCTCGGGAGCTTGCTCTGCTCTGGGTAACACCCAGCTCATGCTTTTCCCTACAATCCATCTTTTGTGCCCAGGCCGGGCGGCGTTTGGGAGCATCCTGCTGCAAAGCATCCTGCGTTAGCATTGCTTGGCCCTGCAGTGCCTGCAAAGCTGGCTCCTACCATCCCTCCATCCCGCTGGGAATGGCCAAGGTGTGGGAAGGATTGGGGCTGGAGGAAGCCCAGACCCCGTCCTTTTCGGCTGGACAATTCCAAGTGGGAAAACGCATCACAGGGAGCAGCTCAGCATGCAGAAATCTGAGCAACGAAGCACACCAAGAAGAGAAAAAGCGCAAAGAAGCGCTGTAATTAAGGGTGACCTGGTTTCGGCACAGCGTGCAGGCGGTCCCTGCTGTGACCGCAGCCCTCGCGGGAACGGGAGGCTCCTGCACTTGTTTTTTTGCTCATTCCGTGTCCAGGCCAAGCCCCAGGACACCCCAGCCCCTCCATTTCCCTGTCCCTGCTCGAGCAGGAGTCATCCAAGACCAGCGAAACACAGCTGATTTAATCACCAGAATTACAGCATGACTGGTAAAGAGACCAGGACCCGATCACTTCAAAATACCAACTTATCTTTTTTTCCCCCTTAATCACATGATAACATTATCTTTGCTATTATGTGATAGTTACTTTTGAAATCTCAAGATCGCTTCAGAGAGATAAAAGACACGTACAGTGGTCTGAACTCCACTTTAACCTAGAAGTTTAGGGAATAAAAGCAGAAATGCTGGAGTTTGTGCTGGGACAGCACTTGGTGCTGAGGTCTCCCAGCACCCCAAAGCAGCTCTGCTCCCATTCCTCCTCTTTCCCAGCGAGGAAAACCTCATGTTGAGCCGTATGGCACAGGAAAAGCCATCCGTGCTGCAAAGCCCAGCTCCCAACAATTGCAATTTGTGGCATGGGGAGTTCACACAGGGACACGGCCTGGCCAGCTCCGCGGTTTGCTGAGCCCCATGAGGAAGCTGGAAAACTGCAGGAATTCAGCCGGGTCACAGCTAAAGGCACGCGGAGCCGGGCCCGCTGCAGCTCGGGCTGCTTAGAAGGCTGTTAGGCATGAAAATACTTGGAAATCTGGATGGCTGCAATGGTTAGAAGGGCTGTCCTGGAGCTCCCCGCAGCTCCCCAAAGGCAGGAGATGCAAGGGCTGACGGGGCAGGAAAGGGACAGTAATAAAGATTGCTGCAATGCACTGTTAGCAGCCCTCAATCTACACAAAGGGGATCTTACTGGCTCTCAAAATGAGATTTGCATTGAAATATATATTTATGTATAATATTACATATATATATATATATCTTTTTAAGCAGTGCAGACAACTACCACTCCTTTCTAAGCCTGCTAACAATTCTCCCAGCCAAAACACTTCCATTACTTACTTTGGAAAGAAAGCAGTTGCAAGCGAGTTGTTTGTTTGCTATTTTTTTAAAAAGATTCCCCTTGTATCCCCATCTAGAACGGTTTCGGTAGTTTAATGCCCAGGTTTAGCAAATGTGCTTTGACAGCAGCTGGTTTTCTCCCGTGCTTAGGTCTAAGCAGGTCTCCTAGCTGCATTACTGAACCGACACCTAAACTCGGCTTCAGTACAAGCAGGAGGCTGATATTCCTCGGGATGTGGGGCGAAGCAGACAATTTGGATTCCCTGCCCCTGAATCACGCTTGCTCAATCTTATCTTCCATCAGCTTTAGGAAATTGCCCCCAAATCTGCCCCCGGGGCAGACGGGAAGCTCTTTGCAAGCAGCAGTGACTGCAGCGCCTCTGGAACGAAGCCGGGGGGAGCAACGCGCCCCAAAACCAGGGCTTTGCCACCGGGTGCACGCGGGGACGGGAAAGGGGTCCTTTGCAGCCAGGCCCTGCCCACATCCCTGCAGCTCCAGCGGTGATGCCGGGGGACGGGAATGCGCTGCGCTCTGGTAGCCCGGCATAAATCCGGGCATGGGGGCAGTGGGAGCCAGGCGAGCCCCTCCGTCCCCTTGGAGCTGCGGGAAAGCCACCCCGTTCCAGGGTGCTTACGGGCACGTCTTGCCCCAGGAGAACCCACGCCGGCTCCAGCACAGCTGGCAATTGCCATCAAAGGACTGGATTGATCGCAGCGCTCGAGCTCCCGGCTTGCCTCGTCCCTCCAGGCATGGGAGAATCCATCAAGTATCACTTTCAAAGATGGGAGGGCTCCAAGCACCAGCTGCCGAAACACATGTGCGAGAGGCGTCTGCGGGAAGGAACAGCAGCCCTAATCCCTGGAGCTTCCCTGCAGAGCTCAGTGCCAGCCCCGGCACCGGCCCAAAAGCGCGATTCAACTCGTCTTGGGGCTTTTGCGGGCTGGTTCGAGGCATCTGGACCCAAAGACAGCACTGGAGGGGGTGCAGGAGGTGCGAATGTCACATCCCAGGACACCTCCCCATGTGGATGTGCCACATGCCAGGCGGGTCCAGCACCACCCGGGCAGCACAGGGTGTCCTCAGGGCGGCGGTGCCGCCTCCTCGGGGGTGCTGGTCCCGCCAGACCCAGCCCGGTGATGCCACCTGCCGTCGAGAGGGCGCTGGGAGGCAGAGGGAGTTGCCAGTTCATAAAACTGGGTTATAAAACCAGCCTCACACACCAGGAGCGCTGATCTACCCTGCTGCCCTCAAGCCAAGTGGTTTTGGGGTGCACATGCTGTGGATGGGAGCCCCATTTGCCCCCTGCTCCCTGCAACCAGCCCTGCAGCGTGGGGTGTCCACCCACCGCCGTGAACAGCAGTTTAGCTTCTCCCTAAAGGGCAATTAATCTCATTATTCTGCGATTAATTAACGGAGTTGCTCAGGCTTTCTGCGGGCTGCTCTGCCAGGCCAGCTCAAAAGAACACCCAAGGACAGATTTAAACCTTTTCTTGAAGGAATTAAAGCAGGTTAATTTGAAAACCCAGCCAAGAGAGTCCAGGAGAACCTCGGACACTGTCAGGGAAGGGGCTGGACTTTGGACACTGAATTCCCGTGTATCAGCGGGTGCCACTGAGAGATGAGTCTGGCAGGGACGGATCAGAGCTGCCTCCTAGTCCCAGCTTTGCCGCTAAGAGCCTGGGGCCACGTCTTTTCTCATCTTCCCGCTGCCTGGCTGCTTCCCTGTGTGCTGGCAAAGCCATTTATTATCTGCTGGTAAAAGGCTTGACATTAACACTAGGGAAAACACTGCACTCCATCTGATGGAAGGCCCCGAGCGGGAGTTATCTGCAAACAGGGTGCAGGAGCTGCAAGTGTATGAGGTCTTGGCAGCTGCTTTTGGGGAGAGCTGGAATTCCTGGGAAATCTGCTCTGGATGGGAACTAAGCGTGGAAAAACAATCCAAGCCAGGCTGAGGAGGCAGGACCTTGGAAAAAGCTGGAGCTTTGCACAGAGCATCACAAAGGACCAAAACTGCTTATCCAAAGACCCTTCGATCTGGGTCTGCTGCTATTTGTAAGTGCTGCTGCTTTAGCTGTAAAGCTCCTTTTGCAGGTGAATTTTGACATTTACACAACCCTCCAACACCTAAAGCATCCGAACGTGGGGCAGGAACAGCACAGGGGACGGGGACAGACACCGCTCTGTCTATTGTACATAGTCGTGACAAGCAGGTGGGATGCAAATAACTCGGGAGCAGGTTGCTCACCACGGGTATGTCACCTTTCCGCTTTCACCCGCCCCAGATGGCACCCAGAGAGCAGAGGGACGGGGCACTCACTACCCCCGGGCTGCCCTTCCAAAGCGGCCACTGGCTCCATTGCTCCCAGCAAATCCCAGCAGACTGCAACAGCCCCAGGCACTCAGGAGCAAGCGGGCAGCCTGCCCGGGGATGAGGCCTCGCTGGAGAGCTGAGGATGGCGTGGGATGCGGGCCACGAGTCCCGCGCTCCGGCTTGCTCCGCCGGGAGCACCCGCGTGCCGTGCCCAGCCGCTCTGCGACAAGCGTGACCGCTGCCCGAGCGCAGGGCGCTGAACGGCAGCCCAGGGAAGCGGCAGAGCCTCCCCGGGAGCCGCTGCCATTGCCGCCGCAGCCGCGCGGGGTCCTCCGCGCTCCGCATCCCTCCCTCCCGGGCTCCAGCTCCCGGCAAAGCACTGGGCAAACGCTACAGGAAAAGCCTTGCGAGGAAGGCAAGAGACTTCTCGCAAGGGGCGGCAGCATCACCCACACGGCAGACGTGGCTGCGGATTCACATTCCCTTGCTGCAAGCCAAGGGGTCTGCGCAGGGAAGCACGTGGAGGTCCCGGCACTCAGAAAGGGCAACCTCACCTTAGCTGTGTCCAAACCACCGCCAGCCTGTCCGTGTGCTCCGAGCCCCTCTGAGCCCTTGTCCTTCCACAGGGGCTCAGGACAGAGATGCTGTCCATGCCCCGAGCTCCAAGGCCAAGACACAACGCAGCAGCTCAGCCAGCAGCTCCTCCATCCTCATTTCTCCCGTAGGGCTCTGGAGTCTATCAGAAAGGATGAGTCTGAAGCGCTGCACCGCATCCATCCCCTTCCCTCACCCCTCTAGAGCTGCACTGCAGCCTCCACGAGGACGGAGGGGAATTTTAGGCTCCTCTTGGCCAGGCAGAGCGCGAGAGGCTGCCGGGCAGCGCAGGTGGTGCCGCACAGCCGCCCGCGGGCACAGCCGCCCGCGCGCACAGCCACCCCGCCGCTTGTAGCCCCGCTGGTGGGAGGCCGCTAGGAGTGCGAGGCGCACAGGGCCTCCACGGCGTCGCTCAGGCCCTGGGCGACGCCGCCGACCGCCAGCAGGCAGTCCCGCAGCACGATGCTGGAGCAGGCGCAGCGCGGCGTGGGCATGGGCGGCAGGCTCTCCCACTTGCTCTTCTCCGGGTGGAAGGCCTCCACGGACTCCAGCACGGTCGGCTGGTTGCCTGCAAGCACCAAGAGAGGCCAGGTCACCCAGGAAGGCAGCGGGACACGCGGGAAGCACCCGTGAGCATCCCCTGCTTGAGCTAATCCATGCGCTCCTGGGGATGCTCTTACCGGGACCTCTTCCCTGCTTTGCTCCATGCGCAAGGACAACCCCCAGCCCATGCCAACCCATAAAGCATCCCCTCTGTCCCCATCCCCTCACCTAGGCCCCCAGCCACGATGACTCTGCCCTTGAGGTAGCCAGCCACAAAGTCGGCTCGCCTCTTCTTCAGGTAGGAGCCGCGCTCCATCTTCATCCAGCCGCCTGCAGAGGGAAGGGACAGACCACAGGGTCCCTAGGGACCTGCCAGGCTGGGCACGAGCCCCCACGGAGCCGCGAGAGCGCCCACCTTGCTCCATGTCAAACACGTCCACGGTCCTCATGAACTTGGGCTGCCGGTAGAGCCGCCCCTGCCGCAGCCCCCCGAGGCTGAAGAGCTTGTCCTCGGCGGGCACGAAGCTGGAGAAGGCCCTTTTGTTGGGGATGCTGGGGAACCTGCTCCACGACCTGCTCTCCGTGTCGAAGACCTCGAAGGCGTTGACGGCGTATTTGGACTGCCTCCCTCCTGGGATGGGAAGGACAGGCCAGACTCGGCTCAGACCACAGACCGATGGCAATAGAAACCCGAGCAGCCCCACGGAGCAAGGGCTGCCCGCTCACACGATGCCCTCAGCTCTCAGGTTCCCTGCGGTCAGGCCCTGCAGAGCCACGTGCCTCATCCCCCTCCTCCTCTAATCGCCATTTCATGCAATTAAAACACATCTATTTTTCTTTTTTAAATGCACCACATCCTCCTTCTCTTCCGTCCCCTGGCAGTGGGCAGCTAGTGCAGGAAGGTGCTTAATAGGCACCAGCTTAATGAAGACAAATTCCAAGCGCTCGGGAGCCTTTGCAATGCAGATAAGTTCAGCACAGAGCAAGGGCAGCCCAGGAGGGAGCAGAGAGGCCAAAACAGCTGCTGCTACAGCCACCAAAGCCGCTGTTTTATTCTCACACCCATCAGATGCAAACAAGACCAGCTATTCTCGGCTCCAACTCTCCGCGTGGCTCTGAAGAGCCAGAGGCTGCTTGCTGCCGGGCCCGCAAGCTGCTTTCTAGCAGCAGATGGATGCAAAATAAATCAAGGCGGCTTTGGTGGGAGCTCCCCGAAGCACCTGCTGCTTGGAGCGACGGGTCCCGATCACAGCATTGCTCCCGACCTGCCTTTCGTCCAGGAGCCGCACAGCAACACCGCCCTGCCTCACTTTCCCCTACACACAAGATGCAGCTAATGAAAACCACCCCAAAACCACCCCATGCCAAACCCTCATCCAGCACCCCCCAAGTTTTCCCTGTTAAAAGGGGACCTTTTTGCACAGGCAGGGCAAAGTCCCCGTGTCTTACCCAGCACGTAGATCTTGGTGCCCCGCAGGAAGGACGTGGCAGCGTACCTGGGGGTGGGCATGGGCGCCAGCGACACCCACATGTCCTTGAGCACGTCGTAGTGCTGCAGGTAGTTGTGCGGCCGCAGGTCGGAGCCCATCCCGCCGGCCGCATACACCCTGTAGTCTGCAAGGGAAGCGAAGGGGACGGATGGAGGGGAGAGCATCGGGAATGGTGTCGGAAGCGGCGGCTTGGGCTAAAGAAAATCAGTGCTCTGCATCTCTGCTTGGAAATTAATGTGGGCAGACAAGGCAGGGCCTTGCAGGCGTTTAACAATACCCATTTAAGGCAGCGCTTTGTGCAGGGAGCTATGCAGGAATCCCCCATAAGGGCACGCATTTCTTGCGGGATTTGAGCCCACAGCTATGAAGCTGGATAAAACCCTGGGTCTTGCCAGAGCGAGACTAAGAATTGCCCCAAACTTCCTTTTCCTCCTCAGTGGAGGACTCCCAAGGTCCTGGACTTGAATGGGCTGCAAGATCTTGGAGAAGTCCAACTGCAGAGCCCGGAGCTTGGACCTTGAAAGGCAGCCAGGCTCAAACGCTGCAGATTCAGAGCAAGCCCCTGAATGTATGTGTTTCCAGGAACCTCAGCCAAGAGCATCTCCTTTTTAGCAGACAGGGACACAGGGCTCAACCTCTACAAACCCCACAAAGGTTTTGGCGAAGGCTGCGGTGCTGCCTTAGATTACGGCGGCATCGCTCAGCAAGCTGCTGTGCTTGAGCATCAGGCAGAGCCCCAACGCATCTCCCACAAACGCAACCTCAGGGCAGAGCGGGGACCAAATCTGCCTTGCCTTTTGCCGTCACCGAGATGCCCATGGCTGCTTCCCGCAGCGAGTTCCTCTTCTTCCACTTGCCCTCGTCTACGTGGTACATCTCCACGACCTTCAGCGGCGTCTGGTTGGCTCCCACGCCCCCGATCACCATGATGCGCTTGCCCAGGGTGGCCACGGCCACGCCGGCGCGGGCCGTGGGCATGGGCGGCAGCGAGCTCCACCGGTCGGCCTCGGGCGAGTAGACCTCGAAGGAGCCCATGGGGACGCCGTCGTCGTCGCAGCCGCCGATGGCGAACACCTGCCCGCCGGCTTCCACCAGCGTCGAGTAGACCCTGCGGCTCGGCAGCGGGGCCAGGGTTTTCCACTGGAAATCTTTGCTGTTAGCCACCTCCATCGCGGCTCCAGGCTGGCATCGGTCCCCTCCAGGAGCAGGTTAAGCTGCGGAATGGGTTGCAAGGAGAATGCAGAGAAAAGCGTGAGGTGGGAACCCGTCCTGCCCCCAGCCAAGCTCCGGGCACCAGGAGCAGGGAATCCCCAGCCCGGGCAGCCCCTAGCCCCGTCTGCCATCGCTGGCACCGCTACCTTTCACTGCGGCTCCATCCGTCCTGCAGCTCCAGACCTGCCTGGAAGCTCCCACAGAGACCGGTCCTAAAAATAAAACAAAGAGAGGAGAAAAAAATAATAAAAAGGTTTATTATCCTGCTTCCTGAGCATCCCCACCCTCAAGTAACATTAAACCGAACAGGCTGCGAGTGGCTGCTCACTTCTCCAGCTCTGCTTTCCTGCCTGCTTAGGAACTTTTCCTTGTTCCCACCTTCTCTGATCCAATTATCCCTCCTGACCCTTGTTTACATCTCCCTGCCTGCCCTGATCCAATAAACCCAGCAAGGAAAGGGAAGAGCAGCCGCTCACCACCAGCCGGCAGGGCCGGATTCATGCAGCAGATGTGCGAGGGATCCAAAGAGCAGCCCATTAGGAGAGAGAAAAGGCTCCCCAGATCATTCTCCCCTCTCTCCGCAGGGCCGTTAAGCATGCAGACGAGATTAATTAGCGCAGGAAGACAGAGCGAGGACAACTGGAAGGGAACAAAAGCAGCAGCAGCTCTCGCAGCGCGGTGCAATGGGCATCTCCCCTTTCGCTGCGAACCGCGGGGTTCAACGGCAGCCCTTGCAGCAAGACAAGGTCAAAGCAGGGTTCACCTTCACCCTTGCAGGCTGCACAGCCTCCGACAACACGGGCATCTGCACACGTGGTCAGAGACATGGCTGTAGCTTTTGCTAAAAAGAAAGAGGGGATGCAAACCCGCTCTGCCTTCAGTGCCTTGGTATTGCTGTTTCTGCCAGGCGCTTAAGAGAAAATCAAGGTCAGTCTGAAGCACCGTAGCAGCTCCCCTCCTCTTCCTCTCTCCAGGATCACTTGCCCTTTCACTCAAAAGCAGCGTGGACGCCACACCAAGGAGCTGGTGCTTCTCAAAGTGCTGAGCAAACACCCCTGCAGCCGTGTCCACCTCCAGCAAACGGAGTTAGCACCCGATTATACCAAACAAATTGGAAGCATTAACATTTTTCTGCATTAAAAGGCTGTGGGGCTGCATTAAAAGGAAAGCGGGTGGTAATTGCTCTCCCGTCAGAGGGGCTGGCAGGCAGCGCGGAGCCGCCAATCCAAAGGCGCTGCCAGTGGGATGCAGCCCAGGGATGCGGGTGCCCCTCATTTCGGGGACACCTTGGAAAGCTGAGGGACCACCATGCTCCTCTGCATCCTGCTAGAGCTTCACACAAAAGCTGCTCGCAGCTCTGCTTCACTGACTCCTATACAGTGACTCCCAGTGTGTTTTGGACCTGGGGATAAGTCACACACCGGCCCCTCGTTGCAGCCCCCTCGGGAGCCAGCACATCCCCATGCCCATATTGCCTCCCGGCAGCCGAATTCCAACCTGTTCCCGGCTGCCATCAGGGGGTTACAACAGAAATGCAGAGCCCCCAGCCTGGCAGGGAAACCGATTAGGGGATCTAAACGAACAGGTTTCCCTGCCTCCATCCTCTATCCTTTTGGGCACGCGCTCCGGTGCTCACCTCGCGGACAGTAACACCGCATCCAATCCGGATCAGCAGCCAGAAAGAGACTTATCCTCAATGTACCGAGGACTGGTGTCACAGCAGAGGTGGGAAGGGGGCAGCGACAGGCTGGGAACAGCAGCGAGCCCGGGAGATAAGGGCTCCCGAGCAGCACGCGCGCGCGGCTTCGTTTCAGCTCGCTTGGCTGCGTGCACGCTATTAAACAGAGAGCAGGGCGAGATGACACAGCACAGACTGCAAGGAAGACGGCTAGGAGGAGATGATTTAGTACAGGGAACCAGCTTCTGTCCCAAGGAATAGCTATGGTATGAGGCTGGGAACAGAACAGGAGGGAGAATACGGAGCAGAACAGGAGGCTGGTAGAAATCCTGGAAAACTTCCTAGACCACCCTGGATCCCCCCCAGGCCTCATGTTCTTCCTCGGGTCTTCCTGAGACTGAGCTCAAAGAGCCGCCTCTATGGGGACATGTCCCATCCTCAAAAGCTAAGGCAGAAACTAAGCAGCCACAGCAGGCGCTGCCTTGGAGAATCCAGGGCATCACTAGCATTCCTTGCTGGAATCGGGGCTTTTGTGGAGGGGAGAAAAACTGGAGAGGAGAAAAATGGAGGGAAAACACAGCAGCAGTTACCCTTATGCTGTTCTGCCTGGCTCTGAAAGTTGGTTATTGCAGAGTATCCAACCCTTGCCACGTGTTGGGAGTTTTAGGTGTGGGTCAGTGTGGGAACCTCGCCGCCTTCCAGGCCAGCCAGGACTCCAGCCCTTGCTGCAAAACCCACGTTCCGCTTTGGCAGAGATGGGAGACACGGGATGCTCCTGGGCAGCTCTGCTGGGAGGCTCAAAGTCCGCGCTGGCCACTGCTCCGCGCTCAGACGGGGCCCTCAATTCCTCCTCTTCTGGTTACAACCCTCCGGCCTCTCACACGGAATTCAGGCACCTGAATGGGACGGGGATCCATGGAAAAGTCTTGTCCAAAGGGCCCACATCAGAACCTGCTCCTCTCTTCTGCCGTCACCCTCAGGAGGAAACTGTACAGCTCAGCCTAACACTGCTCCCTGACGTTTAAAATACACAGAACCCCTCTCTAAGCTTAGATTATCATTTCACACAGATAACCTGCAAGGATTCATCTATTACTAACCTGCTTTTTTATTCAGTGGGTCCAACTTGCACCATGTGGGCAGAACACACAACAAAACCCAAACAAAACCAAAAGCACACGCACAAATCCCCCGCTACCTCCAAGAGCCAGGGCTCTGCTGCTGCTGCCTTTTTTTCTGCCTTGCTCAGAGCCAGGCAGCTGGGGCTGGAAGCAGAACACGCAGGGAACCGCGAGCCTGGTATTCCTGACCTCCCCGTGCACTGAATCGTGGTCCCTTTCCATAGTAACAGCTCCCCAGCAAAACAACAACACAGAAATCCTGCAGTTCCTTGCATTTCTTTGCAAAGCAACCAGCTGGCGAGAGCAAGAAGGAAAGGGCAGGACTGGGCTCCATGGGAGGATTCATTGCAACCTCCATGCCACACTCATCTGCAGCCCCTTTCGTGCGGTGCCAATCCCCCGGGATTGACATTCCCAGACACACGTGTATGCGGGGTCTGAGCGTGAAGGCATCAGGCTGTGAATTGTCCAACTGCCCCCTGCTTCACCCTTCCTCCATGACCAGCCCCTGGAGACCGTTCCCAGCCTCCTCGTGCCAAATGCGATTTCCTGGCGCTGCTAATGGGAGGAAGGCAGGGAGGCTGGGGAAGAAAACAGTCCACGGGGACCAGCAAAGCGATGCACAACAGCAAGGTGCCAGCAGCAAAACATGCAAGGGACAGGACGGGAAGATGCTCCCATTTTTGCCGTCCCTTTGCTGACACAGGCACAAAGCCGGGCTATCCCTTCCCCTTTCTCCTTCTCTTTTGGAGGAGCATCACAGAGAGGCAGGATTTATCCACACTGCGATCGCACCGGCCGGAGCGAGCGCTGCTCCTTCCCTGTCCGCTCCCAGTGCCTGCAGGGCCTCCCTTTTGCCAGCTCAAAGGCAGAAGGTCTCTCCCAAGCCCTTGGGGCTCCCTGATCACATTCACAAAGCTCTGGTTGCTCCATATTTAGGCCACATGCCCAATACTCCAGCGGGAATGCAGAGCGCTCGGGCCAGCCTGGTGGCTGGGACGCTCACTGCCCGCACCCTTCTTACCCATTGCCATGCTCGAGGTGCCGAAGAGGCTCAAAATACTCAATTTAGGGGCTGCTGCAGCGCAGAAAAAGCACACAAAGCCTTGACCCACTTTCAGAGAGCAAACTCAGCTTCGCCTCCAGCCGCATCCCGCTCCTCCCCGCACCCTGCCCTGGCAGCGAGCTGCCCAAAACCTCCCCAGGTGCCTCCTACTTACAGCTCCGCGGCGGGTCGGGGCCGAGCGCGCTCCTCATCGCCCACCCGCGGCACGTTTAAGAGGTGGGCGGCCGGACCGGGCACGAGCGGCTCCCCGCGATCCCGCGCGCGGAGCGGCCCCGGAGCGAGGGAACCGGGCGAGGGGTTTACGGCGTCTGCAAGGAGCAACGGGCAGCTCCGCAGCGGCCCCGGCCTCGCGGGGGGATATAGGGCGATTAGCGCCCGAGCGCTCCCATCTGCCGGCGCCGGATTAGGAGCCCCGGCCCGGAGCCTTTTATGGCTCCGCACAGGATGTTCGGCAAGGCGGCTCTCCCGCCCACCCTCCGCTGGGAAGCCGAGACTGATAGGAAGGGGGGGAAAAAAAAAAGAGAGAGAGGAGAGAGAGAG